CCAGTGCAATCCGCTTCCGCTATGCACAACAATGACCCTATCTGGATTGCGAAAAGAATTTGATGGGAAATAATTTCTCATGTCTTTTCCTAAGGGATGAGAAATGGAAGATTCATTTCCCATGTTTGGTAATGCTATGAAAATAACCAGAAAATACCACTTTATTTCATTTCCTGTGTTTGGCTTGGGTAAGAATGTAAAACAAAGTTTGTTTAATTTTTAAATTGCACCCATATTAGATAAAATAAAATAAAATAATTCATTTAATACTATATTGTAATTCTAAATTGTTAATGAGAACAAAATGTGCATTTAATGCTACTTTAATTTCACGTGGGAAGGGAAAATGAAAAACCCCTTCAGGGGTAGTGGGTTGCATTTTCCCCCTATTTTTCCATGTACCATGTAACCATTTCCTATGGACTTACTAAAAATGGGATATTCCCAAGCCTCATTTCATGTGAACCAAACGGCCCTGAATGTAATGTGGCAGCTAGTGTAGTTCTAGTTTGTTCGTTTTTAAGACTCTAAGGGTCCACTTAGATGGAGTGATTCCAAATTTAAGAGTTTGGATGTCATTATAAAGTTGAATTTGTTTATTTAATTAAGATTTTAAAAGAGTTCAATGGAGTTATTAAGTTTATAGAGTTCGATATATTTCAATTGATTTCTATAAAGTCCACGTACAGTTTGACTGAATTTCTAAATTGATTTGAATGGTGTTTGTTAGAGTTTTATCATAGATTTGAAAAGAGTTTATTAGAGTTCTAAAATGTTATTTTCTTTTTCCTTTTTTTTTTTGGGGGGCTATTTATTGTTTTTCCAGATTTTCAAAATAGAAAAATACCTTTACAAAAATATAGCGTCCAAACATTATACATCAAAAGAAAATAAAAAAAGAGCATATGTTTTGTTCAAATGTGCAACCATATAAGGATTTATGTCTACATGTTTAAGAAAAATGTGCAGAAGTAAAAACATAAAAGTTAATTCATGAAAAAAATAAATGATAAGTAAACTATAATTATAAATGTATAAAAACGAACAGGTATCTGCTTCATTGCTTATCTTTAACCCCCGTCACTCATAGCATCTCTCCATATATCTGAAGATATTCCAACCCTCCATTGGTTAGCATTCTCGCGTTGTTGTTCTTGGGTTTGAAAAACTTGGTCATAATTATTCCCTTAATTTTTTGCTAACGATGACGATGTTGAATGGTCGTTGTCTCCTTCAATAGGAAATTCATCATAATGACACTCCCTGCGCAGAAAATTGTGCAACCCTGCACAAGCCAAGACTAACTCTGCTTGTGTCTTATGTGGAAATGGAGGGGCAGACTTAAAAATTGTGAATAGAGACTTAAATATACTGAATATTCTCTCGATTACGTTTCTGAAGGAAGCATGTCTAAGATTGAACAACTCGGCTACATTTTCTTGATCACGACCTTGACCGGAAAAATCTTGAAAATGATATCGAAAACCTTGAAACGGAGCTAAAAGTTGACGTCAATTTGGGAATCCACAATCCACTAAGAAATATTACCTGAATATATGACATAGGTCCAATTAATATTTACAATACTACCTTATATAGACAAAAATAAATAAATATGTAGCCCTCAATGAAGCCTCCAAATTTGTGCCTAGAAAAGGTGATGAAGTAAAATTTTCAGATGACAAAGTTTGGTGTGGTGTTTCATTTTAACTTGGTACAAATGCCTCATTGGCATCCTGCAATCTCCTAAGTCTACTTTCTCCAACTTTATACGTTCTAGAATCGGTATCATCACCAAGTCCAATTGAGTTTTTCCCAGTAGAAGTTCCATTGGCAATTGCAATTACCAAATCCTCATAGTTTGCAAATGCTTCTCTTTGAAGATGCACTTAACTTGGGTGGGACTAGCAAAAACAAAAAATATAGAAGAAAAAAATTAATAACATGCAAATCCAACCTTAAAGTAATTTTGCCATACTTCTTCAGTAGCTGTGAATTTTGTTGAGACAGAGTCCCACCCAAATCCAAAACTATGATGCATAAGATGAGTAAAACTGTGATATCTTGTCTTAAACTATTTCAGACAAGTCTGATATTGAAGATAAGTTTTTTGGCATCCAAGTTTTGCATTAAGAACATGAAGTATCTTGCTTTCTATTATTTGCTTGCTTAGTAAACCATTAGAATCGCACCATGCACGGTTGACAGCATCAACTATTAGTTCTAACAACATATTGCTCTCTTTCAAAGTCCATGAGTTATAAGATGTTTTTCCTTTTCCTTGTTGTAAATCTCCCATTTATAACGTTACTAGATAATACATCCAATCTTTAATTAGTTTATAAGAAAAAAAAAATACGAAGATTATTTTTTCCTTTCGTTTTGGTGTGGACTATATATATATATATATATCCAATGGCGAACCTACAGAGTCGTAAGAAATTGCAACTGCACCTCCTTTCGCTAGAAAATCCTTTGGAGAGGCTCAACAGCGGACCCAGGAATTTTTTCAGAGGCTGGAATCTGTCCCTCTGCTGGTGCCCACGACGTTTTTGACTAAATGCCTCAAACAGAGAGAGAGAGAAAACCCAAAATGATTTTGAATTGGAATTTAAGTTTTTCGGTTGTTGTTGGTTTCTTGTGTGTTTTGTCTCAAAGCTATGACAAGGGTTTTTTTCTCCTGAAATTTTGTTGAGCTGTTGTACGCCTCGCGAAGAAGACAATCTTTGAGTGTTGTTGGTGACCCAATAAACTCTACACATTGTTTTGTCCATAGCCTGTTTTTATTTAAAGAATAATACTAGTCTTATCACATTTTTATACCACAATTTCATACCACATGATGTGGCAGCTGATGTATACATACCACATCATGTAAAATACTAATTTCTGTTTTTCTAATTTTATTTATTAAAATGCACTTCATTCATTTAATTGATGTGGCATATGATATGGACATGCCACAATATGTGGTATAGAAATGTGGGATAAAAATGAGCTGGACTTTCATATCATTTGGTATATAGAATTTGACAAACCCCAATGCGTTAGAGCAACTCCAGCGAGGCCCCTTTGCCTCGGGCTGGGGGATTTTTTCACCAAAAATGGGTTCCAGCGGAGAGCCCAGGCAAGGAGGGAGGTGTGGGACCCACCAACTCGGGCTGGCCCGAAGGCAGCTTCAGCCCGAGGTCCAAAACGAGGGTTGCTGACGTCAGCACTACAGTACTCGCTACAGTACCCCACTGATTTGATTTTTTTTTTGTTGCCACGTGGCGTCGTCTGGGCTCTCCGATCTGATTTTTTCCTCCAATCCAACGGTAGCCAATTTTTCTGCAATAAAATACTGGAAAAAATTTGGAATTTTTTTTTAAAATACCCAAAATTAATGAATTTTTTTCTATAAATACCAGCCTTTTTTTTTTTAATTTATCTGAAATTTGAAATTGAAAATTTTATCCGATTATGAGATATGAATAGTATTGACACGTAGGAACCCGAAAATATTATCCAAATTAATTATTGTGGTAAAAAAAAAGTTGTGAAAAAATAAAAAAATGAATAGTAATTGCTCTTTGCCATGGCAACGGGTGGAAACGAAAAATACTATTTGCAAGGGCAACTACTATTCACGTGCACAGTGGTTGCCCTAGCTCCCCCCTTGCCATGGCTAAGAGCAACTCCACTCATTTGCCCTTAGCCATGGCAAGGGGGGGAGCTAGGGCAGCTACTATTCACATGAATAGTGGTTGCCCTTACAAATCAGAATTTTGTTTCCACCCGTTGCCCTTGCTAAGGGCAGTTACTATTCATTTTTTTATTTTATTCACAATTTTTTTTACCTCAATAATTAATTTGGATAATATTTTCGGATAAGATTTACGGGTTCCTACGTGTCAAGACTATTCATAATCAGATAAAATTTCGGGATAAGATTTTTGGGTTCAAATTTCGGATGAATTTCAAAATTCAAATTTCAGATAAATTTGGGTTCAAATTTCGGATGAATTTCAAATTTCAGATAAGATTTTCATCCAATCAAATCAAGCCACGTGGCATCTCTATCTTGCCAAACTTTTCTATAAAACCAGAGGCTCACCTCATACCTCTCACACCACATCTTTCAATATTTTCATTTCTTAGAGTTTAGAATTCATATTCCATTCATTCTCAATGGAAGAATATAGGAGATGCTTGGAGAGGCAAGAGAGAGAAAGAAAGGAGAGAAACCGTAGAGCCGATGAAATCAATGAGTTGCAGACGCAAGTCGATGAACAAGTTCTCATAGCAGTGGCAATGGAAGAGGAAGAGAACCAAGGTCGCCGCCGTGGTTCACAAGTCGGCCGTCGCCGAAATATGGACAGACATAGGCATTCTCGGGGTAAGAATCTTTTGGAAGATTATTTTATCCCAACTGCTTTGTACTCTGATGTTGATTTTCGAAGGCGATTTAGAATGCAACCCCATTTGTTCAATAAAGTTATGCATGATATTTGCAATTATGATGCATACTTTGTTCAAAAGTGTGATGCTACTGGGGTTTTGGGCCTTCTTCCAAACTCTGTACACTAGGGACTACCTGCGCAAACCGACTCCCAGGGACGTTCAACGGCTTCTACAAAAAGCCTAAGCTCGAGGATTTCCAAGAATGATTGGTAGCATCGACTGCATGCACTAGCAATGGAAGAATTGCCCAACTGACTGACAAGGAGATTACGACAATAGAAAAGGCCACAAAAGTATCATCCTTGAAGCCGTTGCTGGCTTCGATACATGGGTTTGGCATGCCTTCTTCGGAGTTTCCGGATCCCAAAATGACCTCAACCTGCTGGGTCAATCCCCAGTCTTCAATGATGTTTTGAGAGGCAAAGGCCCTAATATCACCTACCAAGTCAACAATATAGTCTACCAGACGGGGTATTATCTAACTGACGGCATCTACCCGAGGTGGACCACATTTGTCAAATCCATTCCGAATCCCCGAGGTGCGGACCGTATGTTTGATGAAAGATGTCGAAAGGTGTCGAAAGGTGTCGAAAGGTTTGATGAAAGATGTTGAAGAAGGATACATGAAAGATGTCGAAAGGTGTTTTGGCATCCTTCAAACTCGATGTCTGATTGTTCGAGGTGCGGCCCGTATGTTTGATGAGGAGATCCTCCGAAGCATTTTGATTACTTGTATCATCCTCCATAATATGAGTGTGGAGGATGAGTATGATTACGATGCTATAGAGGTCTATGAACCGGATCCCATGAACACGACCTTGACACGAATTTATGAAAGGCCCACAGGGCCAAGTGAAGAACCATTTGAGTCGGATCCGTTGGTTAGGGATGGTCGCTTCATGACCTGTATGCTAGATCGATATATAGAGATGCAATCTTCGTATGTTCATGAAAGGCGTCAACTGGACTTGATGGAGCATCTATGGCCGGTGAAAGGCAATGATGGTGAATGATGGAGCATAGATGCTTTGGTTAGGTTTTAGTTAGTTATGGTTTGGTTGTGTTTTTTTTTTAAAAAAAAAAATTTATGGTTTGGTTGTGGTTTGTTTTTATTATTGTGCTTTGATTGTAGTTTCTTTTATTTTTTATTATGGTTTGGTTGTGGTTTTTCCTTTTAATTATGTTTTCTTTGATGTATGAAATATGTTGAATAAAAATGTATTTTATTGAATGCTTTGTTTATTAAATAAAGAAAGTCAATACAAGTCATTAAGAATTACTACTACCAAAATAAAATACATGAATTACAACAACTTTAATAGAAAACATGAAAAATACAAATACATAAAAGGTATGCCAACTAATTTAATGGTTTTGATCATTTAACCAATCCGTGTTGTTAGGCCCATCATCCTGGAAAAGTCTTCTTCTCATAACATCTCTTCGTTCTAGCTTCCAAAATTGTTGTGTTTCAAGGGACGTGTTGCTTGTATCCATCGCCATGGTTTCCCGATCCGTCTTATCCATCTCTTTTTTGCCCAAACCACATCTGTGCTTGAATCATCTATCAAAAAAAAATTAATGGAAATGCAAGAAATATTTAAAATATATTGGATATGCAAGTAACAAAAAATAATAATAATGGAAATACAATTAACCTTACGAATATATTGGAAGTGCAAGAAATATTAAGAAACAATTGGAAATGCAAGAAATATTAACAAAATATTGAACATGCAAGAAATATTAACAAAATATTGAACATGCAAGAAATATTAATGGAGAGGCATCTCGTTTAACACAACGTCGGGACCCGTGGGAATAATATTGAAGCGTTTACAATATTTCACCACCTCCCAACATTCATGATGGGTGAATTTTTTTTTGCCACCCCCGGTTGCACCGAACCACAT